GGGGGGACACAGAACCGCCCACTTTCTCAGAGACCAGCAGTACAATGAGGGTGGTGACCAGCCTCTCCCGGTTTGCCTGCGAGGGTCCCAGAATCAGCACCCAAAACTCTGCATCCTGTAAACTCCCTCAGTCCTGGAGAAAACAAAGCAAACTGTTTGACTGGGGAAAAAAGGTTTGATTGCCCAAAATGAAATTCATGAAGTATGAAGAATGACATGACTGTAAACCAAGCTTGCAACTACAAGAGTTTGGAGACGTAAATCTGCCGGACCAGCCTGCGGTTTCCTTCCCGCATCACAGATGCGTTGCACAGGAGCCCAGAAAGCCCCAGGTAAAGTTAGAGCCCTTGCTTTGAATTGCATTTTGCATGTTTACAAAAGTTGCCATCCAACTAGACCCGGGATATTTTTCATCCTGAGATTAGAATCTCTTCTTCACTCCATGTGGGTATGGTTGTAATGTAGCAACCAATGATCGGGTCCCGTTTCCTGGATGCCCCAAGTAGTCTTCATGATCAGTTCTACATCAGACCATTGTGGTCCACAGGGTTTTCATTGGCTGATTTTCTGAAGTAGATGGCCAGGCCTTTCTTCCTAGTCTAGCTTAGTCTGGAAGTTCAGCTTATCCCCAAGGTACCATCAGAGCCACGTGCAAACTTCCACTGACAGATGGCAGCTGTGCGTGAGGTACCTTGGCCAGGAATCAAACCCAGCTCTCCCACAAAGAAGGTGAAAATTCCACTACTGAATTGCGTACCCCAAGACCACTGCCATCGGGTCAATTCAGTGACCTTTTAGGACAGTGAAAGTGTTCCTTTGGGTTTCTGAGGCTTTACATATTAATGGGTGCCATCAGCTTCATCTTCTTCCTGTGGCTTTGAAACGCTGACCTTGTGTTCGCTGCTATCCCCACCAGGACTCCTTACTGAATTGCATAGCTTCCCTTAAAAAAATGACCCATGGAATTCCCAGAGAAAAGATGTTGCAGCCCTCATAGCACCAGGCCCTGGTGTCAAGGCAGGAGAAGTTCAAGTGGGTAGTCTAAAGACAGGAGACAGAGCCCGTTGAAAGGTTTATGAACATTAATTTGAGAAAAGAATAATAGCATACATATCAGTAACCCAGGGCATGGCATTTTCAATTGCCTCGAAAGCATGTGGAAGCGGGACAGTGTAAAAACTGCTCAGTGCAGAAGGAAGACCATAAAGCAATGGATGCCTTTGAGTTTTTGGTTGGGGAGTGATACTCAATAGACCGTGGACAGTCGGAAGAAGAAATACAATTCTCCTGGAGGTGCTACAACCAGAACACTCCCTAGAAGCAAGAGTGTGTGGTGAGGTTTTGCCTCTTCTATTTTCGACATATTATCTGCAGGAACTGGTCCCTGGAGAAGGACATCATGCTCAGGAGAGGGTCAGTAAGAAAGAGGAAGCACCTCAGTAGGATGGGGTGACACAGTGGCCCCAATCATGGCCTTAAACATAGCAACGATGGTGAGTACGGCAGTGTCTTATCCTGTTAAAATAGGATTGCTATGAGTTGTCCCTGGTTCAAAGTCACCTCACCTAACACAATCTCACATCACGAACCATAAGACATTCACCCCCATCTAGCTGCTAATGTTAACCTGAGGCTTAAAACAGAATTGCTCCAGGATAGCTTGTTGATTCCATGAGTCAACACTCCTGACCTGATCATCAGTAAGAATCTGGAGACTAAGGCCATTCTCAGATACTAGTATACGATGACGCTTGAAAAAGAGTGTGTGAAAAATTTAAGAGATACTGATATTTTCCCAGGTACATTTGAAGACCTCCAGTATATGAATCATACTAAGGGGGAAATACCGTTATCTTTCCATTCCATTTCCCCCACAAAATGTTTGACCCAAAGGTCATTGGACTAACTGAAAGTTTGGCGATTCAAACACACCAGCGACTCCTCACGAGAAAGGGAAGGCTGCCTCGTCGTCACAGTTTGCAGTCTCAGAATCCCTCTACGAGTGGCTGTAAGTTGGAATTGTCCAGAAGGCAGTGGGTTGGCATGACCCGGGGGTGGGGGCGGGGCTGAGGCAGCAGCCTGGGTATCCTTTTTCTCTGGTGACTCACGTGGGCAATGTTGAAGGGTTTCGATTTTGAAAAGCTCCTCTCAACCAAAACTGAAACTTAGAGCTGTCCTCTGGACTGCTTTTGCACCTGCAGAAACAGTTGTGTGACTAAAATAAACTGTTTGCTCCACACAGGCTGTGGTGTTTCTCCAGCCAAGTGTGTAAGGGGTTAAGCCAGCAGCAGTTGCAAAAGCCCAGCACAATGGGTGCCACCGAGCCAGCAGCCTGTCTGAACATGTTGATAAAGCAGACAGTGACACTGACCACACCTCTGGCAGGCAACTTGCTGAGAGGAACACACACACACACACACACACACACACCTCTGCCCCTCCAGAAACTTGGTCTGAGAAGTCCCCCCAAATGCTTTTTTTCAGCCTCGGCAAACTCTGAGAAGTCCCACATCTTGAGCCTTCCTCTGTGTGGCCCAGGCCCTTGAACAGACTTTGCATTTTATTTTGGCTGAAACCAGTTATTAGGCCTGGCCACTTCCTTCCTTCCGGCCTCTATTTTCAGTAGCAGAGATACAGGGCCTTGTACCTGTTGTTAAGTGTGGTCACAGGGGAAGGGAAAAAATAAAGCAAGTTCTGCCAAACCCACCTTAGTCTGACAGACAGCACCATCGGTGCTGGTTCTCTTGACCTTAGGACGGAGTGGCTGCGCCTGTCATCTCTAGACTCACAGGTGTGCCGTTGTGCCTCACTGTTCAGAGTGGGGATGACTGGGGGCGGTGGGGGGTGGTTCCTGGATGCAAGAATGAGGCCCTTGTTGCAAAGGCTGTCGGTTGCTTATGTACCATCAGCAAACCCTCGTCCAGCACAAAGGGCTATCCGCTCACACAGATGCCCAGCACAGGAGCAAGGCTCCTGTCCCCAGTCTTCCTCTGAGGGACGATGGGTCTGAGGTTTGAACCCACAGGACAGCCCGTCTCATTTGGGATTCCTCCCCGTGTCACCCTAAGCTCGGTGTGTAACAGGAGCTGGCTTTCCTAACACCTGGCCAGGAACACTCTGAAATAATACGCAGCGGGTGCCTGAACTATTGTCAAGGCAATTCGCTTTTCCATGCTCTCAGTGGATCTCCGAAGCCTGAACATCTTTCCGCTTGCTAATAAGGTCCTCTAAGTCTAGTTCAACTGCAAGAGTGGAAGAAGCAAGCTTGGGACTCGCCTCATTGCTGAAGGAGGGAGGGAGCTGAGGGGTAAGTCAAGTCTGAAGGAGATAAGGGGGAGAAGAAACAAGAGGGTAACCTTCACTCTTGGGTAGCCAAGCCCTGTGATGTAAGGTCACCTCCAGCTAATTTTTAAGTGAACGTTTCAAAACACAAGATGAATAAGCCAGATGGTTTAGACATAAACGACATTACGAAGTGTAGGGTGTGTTTATTGAGACTTTCCAGAAAGGGCTCTTGACTGAAGTGCTCAGACGGCCAGAGGCCACCTCTGTCCTGCAGGCCCCTCCGCTCACTGGGGAACAGGGGCCAAAGCTGCTCTTCACCAAAGCCACCGACCCTCACGATGGGGCTTTTCAACCCCGACATACCAGCCGATAAAATGCTTCAGTTATTCGTCTGGGCTGGATAGTTTGATGGCCTCTAATTATATCTGCAGCAACATAAAATGAAGCAAAGATATAAAAATAGCCCTTTGTGCTTTCATCGAAAGAACCTTTTCAAATATTAACTTAGCAATCTCCCTCACAGTGAACTCCCCAGAGGTGGTAGGTAGGCAGCGAGTTTTATTACGTATTCTGATGGCAAAGGTGGGAATGGAAACAGGCAAGGCCAGTTCAATGCCTTTCCCAATGTCACTTATAAGTTCAACTTGAAGAACCATGGGTGGGGAATGGATGCAAGCCGTCTTGAATTCACCTTTCTCGTTCCAAATGACGCACCTGAAAGTGCTGAGGGCAGGGCCCATGCTGAAAGCCCAAATCATGGGCGTAAAGCAGGCAGCCCTGAGAGATTCCTTGTTATTGCAAAGGACTCAGCCATGGGTCCTGCAGGCAACGTGAATACAGAACTTCGGGTGCACTTGTAAGCCTCTGGATGGACACACTGAGGTGAGTGAAATGTGTCCACAGCAGGAAGTGAAGAGCCCTCAACTCACTGCATTCTAGTCAACTCTGACTCCCATCCAACCTACAGGGCAGGTGGAACTGCCTCGGGGTGGTTCTGAGACGGGAACTCTTTACAGGAGTAGAAAGCCTCATCTTTTCCCTGCAGAGTGGCTGGCAGTTCTGAACTGCTAACCTCAAGTAACTACTCCACCAACAAGGGAGTAGGCCCGGTGGTTCAGTCAGGTAAATGTTAAGACTGCTAACCCGAAGGTTGGAGGTTCAAATCCAACAGCTGCTCTGAGGAAGAAAGAGGAGGCTATCTGCTTTTGTCAAGCTATATAGCCTCAGGACCCCTACACTGGGTGATTGTGAGTCGGAATGGAATTGGAGGGCAGGGAGGTGCCCAGAGGTGCCTCATAGCAAAGAGCGGGCCTGACACCTAATCCACAAGACCAGCCACGGCCCGGATGAGCACCCAACAGAGAGCGCATCCTCACAGCAAGAAGTTCCTGGGTGGTCCTCAGCACATAGGTCCTCAAGGAGGAGGATGCTGTGATTCCTGTCCCACATTTGGAGGAACCTTGGTGGCATAGGGGTTACTCTTTGGGCTGCTAACTACAGGGTCAGCAGTTTGAAACCCCCAGGCGCTTCTCAGGAGAAAGATGGGGCTTTCTACTCCCATAAAGACTTCCAGTCTTAGAAGCTCAGAGGGACAGTTCTACCCTGTCCTATCGGGATGCCATGGGTTGGCACCGACTCGATGGCAGTGTGTTTGGTTTGGTCCCATGTTTGTGTTTAAAAGCAGACAGAGACAAAGCCAGGCGTGGTCATGCCTATTAAAAATTTAACTATATGTCATATTCATTTATTATCAATCCACAGGATAATTTCATTGCTACATGAGCTCATAAAAGCTTTTCACCTTTACAAAATTAAAAAAAAATGTGCCACAAGGATGTAATTACAACTGCCGATAAACAAAAAAATGAATCTTAAAATTATAAATTTGCTGTAGAAAAGATAAAAAACAATTATATTTTCTTTTAGAATTTTACCTTGAATAAAATATTCCCCTGTATAAAAAATAAAAAAGCTTGCTCTGGTTTAGAATTAGAGATTTTTTTCGTTTTGTTTTGTTTTGCTTTTTAATCTTCAAATCTGGGAATTTGCATAATATTTCCATGATACTTTTCCTTTGTACCGCGTGGCATTCAAGCATAGCAGATTAGAAAGATTTTTTTAAAAGCAGTCTTAAAATGGGACATCTGTGGAAAGGTTGGTTTCCTCCTCCTCCTCCTCCTCCTCCTCCTCCTCCTCCTCCAGCGTGTGGGACACAGCCTTGGAGACCAGGAAAAGGAGGAGAACCACTGCAGGGGCAGGAAGGGAGGCAAGGGGAGGGAGGGTGGGCAGGAGGAGGGAGTCTGTGCTGTGAAGCAGAGCAAGATGGTAAGAAGGCCTATTTGTAAGTGCTTTAAGATAAGGTGCAGAAGCAGACTGCAACGTGGCGAGTCCTGCCCTATGTACATATTCACAAGAATAAAAAAATTCCAGCTAGTTCACATTTTCTCTTGCATTCTGAGGCATCCACTCCACCATGCTGGCCTGGGCTGCCCATTGAGGGTGTTGGTCCTATGGCATCCTTGAACTTGAGGAGGGAGCAGCCCTGGGGGGGGGGGCATATGGGGGCAGGGAAGGTGTCCAGCAGACTCTAGAGAGATGTGTTTACCAATGGGCTGGAGTCCTGAGTTTAAAAGAAGCTCCAGTACTGGAGTTGGACACAGCAATCAATGTTCTAGGCTTTTCCCCTTAGATTTGTCTAAAACAGGTGTCAAGAGAGAAAAAGAAAAACACAAACAAACACCACCAAGCCAAGAAATCCCGACAACCATCAGGGAGCGTTCAAGGCTTTAGCAGCTCTTGACCCGGGCCTGGGTGATATCGGATGTTTTCTTGATGACGCTGGCCCGAGTTTCCCGGTCTGGCCGACTGCTGCTGCTGCTGCTGCTGCTGCTGCTGGGGGCTGCAGTCCCAGGGGGCGTCAGGGGCAGGTCTGTAAAAGAGGGCCAGGAGGTGTTGTACGGCATCGGGCAGCTCTCCTCTTTGATGGTGACCTGGAGATCGGGCTTGTTGGAAGTCACAAAGGTGGCCATGCTGGGCAGCAGGTAGGTGCTTCGGGTGCCCATGTTGCTGAGGTACTGCTTGCCTTCGATGCTCCTCTTCCTCCAGTGGGGCCGCGCCTTTCAAAGAAAACAAGCATGAGCTATTTCTTCTTTTCCTGCTGGCGACTGCCATGGGCTTGAGAAAACAACAACAAAACAAAGCGCAAAGCCGACCCGAGATTCCTATGCGCTGCTGTTTCAGGGGCATTTCCTAAGACTCACAGAAGGAACAAAAGTCTAGCCATTCTTTCTGCAGCCCTCCCCCAAGCCCCCTCCCTGCTGGACAGCGGTTGCTTTTCCTTCTGCGTCCATTCCCAGACATCCAGCCAAGCCGAGTCTGCGAGGGCAAGACTAGAAGGTTGGGCAACTCAGTACTCCCGCCCCTGGGCTCTGGGCCCATCTCCTTTGCCCAGCCTGAAGTGCCGGGGGCTTGAGGACAGCCGGGCTGGCTTGTCAGGGCTACTGGATTCCTCACCCATGGCCCAATCTGCATAATCAAAGGAGGGTCAATTGAGGACAGATGTCCCTTGCCCTTTCTCCTGCCAGGGATTACTTAGAGCTCTGGGAGGCTGGACAGCAGGTGGCCTCCAGTGCGGTTCATTCAGAGAAAAGACTGGAATGCTGATCTTGGACAAGAAGGATTCAAAAACACCCAGGAGCATCTACACTGTATTCAGAACTGCTGGCCTCTCCTCAAAGGTATTTGGTATATTGGAGAATGACTGATTCCAACACCCAGGAGTCCCCTCTCTCCTTTTCCTCTCATCCCCTCCTGCTCGCACTCAGGCAGCACTTAGGCACGGTGCGATTCCCATCCACCCGTCCATCCGTGAGGCAGCGGGCCCTTTGCAGGGCCACTTCCCATCACCCTGCCAACCATTTCCTGATATTGTGTGAGCACCCAGCAGGCCAGAGAGGGGAAATAGGAAGCAGGTGGGCTCAGAATCAACCTCTGGGTGCAGAACAAGGAGGCCGGGTCTCCAGGTATCTGAGGAGGTTCTTCTTGCTTAGCTCTTCCTGCTGGTTACTTCCGGCCACTGTGGACATTCTATGTCTGCTTGTGCAGGAGGGTATTTATAGAGGCAACAAATCCATTCCCTTTTCCTGCCCTCGCAGCCTCTTTCTAAGGATAACATGTTCTCCCCCCCCCCTCACTCCCGAGCAGCCCCCACGGGGTCATTTCACCACTCAACACACCAAACCCCAAACTCACAACGGACACCAGAAACGCTGAGCCAAATGGGCAAGGAGCTCACAGGGCTCCCGGGAGTGCCCTCACCAGGAGTGCCCCCCTCCCCACCCCGCCACGGAGGCATGCTCACCTCATTGCTCTCCTCGTCGCTGGGCACACTGTTCGTAGTCTCACTTTCTGCACAGAGAGAGAAACACACAGGGTCATCATTTCTACCACCCACACCCTTTTGAGGCTCAGTTGATAAACATACTTATCGTATTTGTGGGAAGCTCGAGGCAGCATTGTACTCCTAACCACAAGGTCAGCGGTTCAAAAGCACCAGCTGCTCCTTCCTTGCTATAAAGATGAGGCTGTCTCCTTCCGTAAAGATGTATAGCCTTGGGAACTGCACAGAGGCTCACTGAGTCAGAAGAGGTTGGGGGGCGATGGATTTCGTTTCTGTAATGTTGGTCCTTTAGAGAAAGCTGGTTTTAGAAGTGTCCTTGTTGCCCGTTGACCTTGAATGGATTCCAACACAGGGTGGCCCCGTGTCTACAGAGGAGAACTGTTCCATGAGGGTCTTAAAGGCTGTGGCTTTTCAGAAGCTGATCAGGCCTATCTGCCGGGGGCACCACTGGGTAGCTTTGAACCGCTAACTTTTGGGCTCGTCATCCAGCACTGGCCATTTATACCACCCAGGGGCCCCTTAAGAGCTGAGGGCTGCCTTTATCTTTGAAGGCCAGACTAAATTTACACCACTTTCCAATGCGGGGTGTTCTCATAGTGCCACTGGGTTTTCTGCTCCCCATGCCCTCTGCTCATGCCTGACTCCACCTCAGGCCCATCCCCTCACCGTTGCTCTATCCCCTACACCCCATGCTGCCTGGTCCTTTCTCGCAGTTCAGGCCAATCATTATATCCCAACTCAGAGTCAACAGTCATCGAATCTCTTTCCAGACCTCGCTATGCCCTTCAGGACTTCCGTCTGAGGTTGGCAGTGACATGTTCCACACGGGTTACGGTGCTCGACACATTCTAAGGGGACCCCATGGTCCTCATTTCCAGGTGTTTGCTTTTCTATTGGATTCCCAGAGGTAAGAGCACCTATAACTAATAACTGTGATGGCCGATTAGGAGGAAAGAGCTAGGTTCTTGTCCACAGTCAGGCTCCATGTTGGTTTTTAGCATAAGATGTTTCTTTATGTTTCCACTGTGTTTTGTTGACACTGATAGATACGTAACAGCAGAGAAACAGAGAGGGGACTTTAACCACTCCGGGCAAACAGAAAAACGGGGCCCATTCACAGGAAACAGAAGGTGGGGATGTAAAACTAATTAGGAAAAGTGATGTCAAGATGTAAGTGACTGTCCCCGGGAAGATTATGTGCATGACCAGCCTAACCTGCCAGGATGTTTGCTCCTGGGACTGACCACACTTCTAAATCACTAGCTCGCTGTCGTCAAGTCAATTAGGGTGCAGAGAGGCCCAAGGAGGGTCTCCCAGACTGTAAATCTCTCCCGGAGGAGACAGCCTCATCTTTCTCCTACAGAGGGGCTGGCGGGTTTGAACCAGCAACCTTGCAGCCCAATGCTTATCCCACAGTACCACCAGGCTTCCGTCTAGTGGCTCGACTTGATAGGTCTTGTTCAGCCCTCATGATCCCCACAGGGTCCCCACCGGCAGAGGAGCCCCTTCACGCCCATGCTCCTTCCCGTCCCCACCGAGGGACTGGCCTCCAGGCTCACACCTTGCTGGGGGCAGAGCTGGGACATCAAGGCTCACAAACCAAACAGAACCCTACCTGCTGCATGGAACATCGGCCACAGATGGGTCTACATTCAAAGCCAAAGGGTTCAGCCCTTAAACAAAGGGGGGAGGGATGGTCACAAGACACCCAGAGCCATTTAGCACATTGCTCAATCACGGTTCTCCAGTAGTCTCCCACACCACGCTGAAGGCTGACCACGAGCAAGGAGAAGGCAGGCTTCTAAGCTCCTTGCGTCTGAGTGCCTACTTCCCCAAACCATCCTGGTGGAGGACGGCACACGCCAGGGAAGGTGCGGCCACCACCGCTGGAAATGTCGCTACCGAGGCTCACAGACCACAAGCAGCACGAGAGATGACACCACACCACGAAAACGAAAAGCAGCAAAAGGAACATTCTCCTCCCTACCCTCAGCCTCCCCCGAGCTCAGTGTCCCCCAGAAGACAGGAGTCAACAACACCCCTTCCGAGGAGCAAAATGAGGAACAGAGATGTGGTGACACCGGCCGATGTGCCAGACGGAGTCAGCAGAGAGGGCGGAAAACAAATGTGCCCTTCAGCTCCCAGGGCCTCCTGTGCTGGATGCAGGAACTCGGCTGCCAGAAGCGCTCCTGCCACTGCTCGGGGGGCACTGATGAAATTTCAAGATCCTCTTTCTATTTTTATGCTTAGCGTTCTTTGTGCTCCAAAGCCAAGATTTCTCTCCCAAAGCCAAGATTTCTCTTCCTTCCATATATGGCTGGGCCCCTTCCCCCGTAATGGCCCTGCATAAATGCCATCATCCTGTTCCTCAGGCCCTTCAAACAAAAGCACACAGATGCCACAGACACTGGGGTGAGGGGTGGGGGTGAAAAGCAGTGAAGAGCAGGGTTCTGAGGCTCCACCAGTCTGGGTGGCAGTGGCTTGGAGGAGTCAGAAGTCAGACCTTTAGTTAGAATCCTTGGGAAGACACTGACCATGCATTCGACCCCAACATTCATTTCCTTTAGAAACCTGGTTTTCAACTCAAACAGCATTTCAGATCCTTTGAACTTATGCTTTAAGCTGATACTAATGATAGCTGAAGAGCATAGTTTCAAAGTTAAAAATCAACTACTTCTGAACTCAACCAAACACCCAAAAGAACAGTGGTCACTGAGCGGAGTTCAAGTCCTGAGGTCCCCATGCCTGTCAGAGCAAAGCTCTGCGCCATGGGGTTTTCCATGCCTGATGGGTTCAGAGCCTCGGAGTGGATTGGAACCACCACCCTTGTGATTAGTAGTCAAGCACTTAACCATGTACACCTAGGGACTGCTACTTCTGAACTAGACTCTGCATACTAACATAACAAGGTGTCTAATTTTTCGTGTTTAAACAACTGTCCTTGAGTGCCTCCCGCCAAAGAGTAAGAGAGGCTCCAAGCTCCCACTTGAGAGTCCCAGACCCTTCCTTCCAGAACAACCGGGTTCTCAGGGAGGTGAGTGGGGAGGCACTGTCAGAGAAGGGGACGCCAAAATGACCAGGCTATTACACTTTAGTGCAGAGTGTCAGCAGAAAGGTAGTCTTTTAATGAAATATCCCTGTAGTGACATAATAAGCCAATAGATCTACAAGGCTAAAACTCTGTTAATTTACTTTTGGAACCTTCTAATGTGCTCCGGTTGGAGCTGTTCTTATAACCCAATTACAGTGATACTTGTAATCATGTGCTCATGGCTACAAGCATATGCTGTTGTTTTCCCCATTGCTGGTGTTTTTTATAAGGGCTGATTTTGTCCAGTGTTCTGATGCCTTTAATGACAATATTGTGGCAAGTAGTATTCATGAACCTATATCAATAACGTGTTGAAAATGAATAAAGGAAGGAAAAAAATCAAAAGAGGCTGCCTGCCCCAGAGTTACAAATAATATTGTCATTAGCAATGTAGAAAGATTTTCACAAGGCAATGTTGTTGTTAGTATTCCTCTAATCTACAAAATATTACATTTAAGAAATGTGCACGTGTATCACCTATTATTCTATGATTAAAATGGATAACAAATCTCATTAAGGATTCTGTCTCGTGTGATATGGGAGGTAGATCATGGGGGTGGGGGTAACACCAACCCTAGTGCCCCCCCTATCCCCCCACCCCCGCCTCACCACCCCTGAACTGTCAAGTCATTTTTCCTCTGCGTTTGCAGCATGACTCCGCCATTGCCGATGTTAAGCATCCTGTTTTGAATATAGAACAAGTATGTTCAGTGCCTGCTTCTGGATCAAATGACAACCACCAAACTCACTGGTATCAAGTCAGTTCTGACCCATAGTGATCCTTCAACATAGGAAGAACTGTACTGTGGTTTCTGAGACTGTAACTCATTTTTTTTTTTAACTCCTTATGGTAGTAGAGAGCTTCATCTTTCTCCCAGTGGGTGGTTTGGAACTGCTGACCTCTTGGTGAGCAGTCCAACACCTAAGCTACTAAGCCACCAGGGACTCTTGCTGAACTGGTTCCTGCTGAAATATCAACATGAGACAGTACTTCACTTTCAATCACCAAGGATTTCGACTTGGATTCGTTTGGATTTTTGCTGCACAAACGTTGAATGCAGCAGAATAACAAATCTGGAGCGGCTTCGCTGGCACTTCCAGGATGATGGTCTCTAGGCTTGCACATCACATCAGTCAACTTTGGGATGCTTCTCTGAGAACACACAGAGCCCCTGGGTGGACACACAGCACACTCAGCGGCTAATCAGAAAATCAGGGGTCCCAGTCCATCCAGGCTGACTTGGAAGAAAGGCCCGATAGTGACTCATCCCCAAGCTAAGCCGGTGCAAACCCCTCTGGAGCACATTCTGACATTCACAGGGTGGCCGTGATCAAAATCAAACCAGCTGGGAAATGCCCTGGAGAATACAGCGTGCTGACCCATCTCGGGAGCAGAGTACCTGGAGGGAGATAATCTTTGTATGTTCAACTTGTTTTGCCTTCTACCGCCCCAGGAACATTTTTTTGGAAAGACCTTGGTCGGCAGCTTTGGTAATAAGATTGACAAGGATTTCCTTCCTGCTACCTTCTCCTGGATTATTTCCCTTGATTTCAGAAAGGTCAAATCACAGTGCTTTTGATCGAAGGCAAAACTATCATTGCCCCACCCCAAACCATGCCAACCTAATGTGGCTTCCATAAGGGCCTACCAGCTTGACTGACCTTGTTAGTCAACAGGAATATTCCATTCTGTCATGAGCTATTCCCCTGTCATATTACACTTTCCTCTCCACTTATTCCCCATTCCCTCCCACCTCCCCCAAAGGAAATTCTATTATGATTTTTTTCACCAAGCCTCCAAAAATCTAATCCAATTCTACTGTCGTAGAGCAGGCAAGAGACCAGCTGACTAGAGACCTTTAAATAAATAAATAAAATAATATGAATTACTTTAAAGAAAACGAATGAGTATCCTCC